GTTTTTTAACAATTTGAACCAAAAAAAAAAAAACAAAAGGAGAAAGCTAAAACCGAATTCAACATGCCCTGGATGCACATTTGTCATATCCTGCTGCTGCTAAAACTCTTCGATCACCACCACCAGAATCTTGAAACGTTAGGAGCCTTCTCCGATGATTTTCATCTGAATCTGAAGATTTCTCTTCATTCTTTGCTGATTCACTCTCCTGTTTCTTGCTACAAGGATGCCATGTAGCCCCTAAAGCCTTTGATATGCAAATATCAGATACGACTCCTTGTCCCACTGTCAGGAGCAATGATATGAACCCAAACAGCATAAGCTCTGAAAGGAAGAGAAAGCCAAGTTTTCTGAAAACCAAAACAACAAATTTATTTAACCTTAATTTACTAGAACTATGCATGTATGGAATGACAAACCTGATTTAATCTTTTCAAGTGCTTCACGAAGAGCTCGCTTTTGTCTCTTTTTTAACCACTGCAGAAAGTAGAGAATTGAAAAAATTACTGTCAAAGTACCCAAAAATAACAGCATGAATGTTATTAGAGATCGAGGTTATGTGTTGCTTGAATTACCCTTCCAATTAAGTGGATGACATGTTCTATGATAATTGAAATCAAAATCAGCACAAAACAGACAACCGCGACTGCCCAACTTGGCGTTTGCTCTAAAGACCGACTCCCTTTCTGTGCTGCCATATTAAGAAACTGACAGAAATTTCACGTAGAAAAAGACAGAGTGTTAACCTTTTTTATGACAGAGAGTTAACCTTTTTTAGATTTAAGAACTCAACCAGGCATTCATGAGCTTGTTGCAGTATATCTAAATGAACTTAATTATTTATAGAAAGGAGGAGACCTAGTAAGCTCAACTAAGACTTGTTAACGTGGGGTGACGTTGAAAGAAGTGACGTTCCGGAAGGAAGGTAAATGGCACTATGGCAGACCTTGACCAGGAAATGTTGGGGATCAGCAGATGACCTACTATGCTGGCTAAACCTGCTGAGCCGTCTCGTTCTTAATGAATCACTGACTAGAAATTTTTGGCACACAGAATTCTGATAAGAAGCAAAAGAGGATTAAAAAAATGATTTTTTATTTCCATTTGGTAAAAAGAAAAGAGAAAAAGAAGTCAGTGGTTATGAGATTTTAAGAAGTAGGGTATGGAGCATAATTTTACTATAAGGAGTTTTACTTTAATTCTAAGTTTATTATAATTAATTATTAATTAATTGTTACGAGACATCTCACTAAACAAAAAAATTATTATAAAGACAAAATTTTAAAATTTTGAAAAAACAAAGGTATATACAGCTCCTGCTAGCCACCCATTCCCTCTACATTTTACCAGTTATGTCGGTTCTCACTTCTTCATGAACGTTTTCATATGAAAAATATCAGATTAGCCTAGCAACAAGATCAAGCAGGCAATCATGATATATATTATATCTCCTGAAAATGGAGGATAAAGTTTTCACTGATGACAAATTAATTTGCAGTCTCTTGTAAGTCAACTTTTCTGCCAATGCATATCCAAAATGATCTGACTGAAAATGCCAGCTTCTAGATGGTAACCACATTTAAGTTCTGTCCATTAATTAGCACATATGAACATATTAAGAACAGAAATGGCTTTCACATCATACGTAGAAATATTATCCTGAGAATTTTCAAGGAATTTTCCGAAGAAGTGCATCAGAATTTTTCTTGATATTGCTCCTTGTCAAATATTTCGAAAGAAAAAAAGAAAGGGTAACAAGTAAATTAAGATGTGATTAAACCACTCAAGGAAAGAGGAAGAGTACCCTGGTAGGTCGAATAATTCTGAACTCAACGTTCGTTCAGGGAAACTAAACGTAATAAGTGGGAGCAAGGCCTTGGAAGTTCATCAGTACTTGAAGCATTGACGCTGATCTCTTCTACGGCCACCCATTTACCAAACTCCCAAAAAAAAAAAAACCTGAGCTATTACTCAGTGTTAATGCTTACCAGAATAT